GCAGCCAGAGAGGTGACAATGCAGACAAGCAGAGAGAAAAAAAGCATAACCCCATTTCTGTCAGATGAAAGCCCATAGTGCCCAAAGCTGAGGAATGATCTTTTCTAAGGTAAAACAGAGCCACTTTAGCCTCTGCAAGGGAAGTAAAGCCAGGAGATAACTGGCAAGGTCACCAGGAAAAAATGTTTAGTGCAAATACAAGGGTGTTACAGAGGAGCAGCCAATGCCCAGGACATTCTTTTTCACCCATGGCTGCTGCAGCACCAAGATGATCCTGTGTCCTGTCTTCCCTGCCCTGCCTCACTCAACTGCTCTCCTAGCTCTGAGGCCTGGGAGGATTTCCTCAGGCTGGCTTGTCAGCTTATTCCAGGGTAACAATCTCTTCTCTGCCATGAGCTGTCATGGCTCCATCAGTGCTCTGAAAGTGCAGGTATTGGCAAATTTTGCATTATGTACACTTTGTCACACACTGTCTCACTGATGTGACCACCACTTCTCCACCCTCTCCCTCCCACTGCTTCCCAACAGAAAACACTACCAGGCAATTTTTAATCCCTCTTCCACCACTTGCCCTTGCTTGTCTCAAAAAACTGGGGAGCCTGCACCTTCCTGCACTCTCCTCTCCAAACTCCCACAGGTGTCTCAAGCCAAAGGCATGCCATGTCAGTTGGCCTGACTGTCTCCTTCACACAGATCTGCCCCCAAAAAGCAGGAGGTGGGGAACAGAAACTGGGAACCGTGTAGATTCTGCACCCTGACAAACCAGCCAGGAGGTGTGGGTTGTACATCTAGGCCATACACCCTCTGGCAACTCATGTCTCTGCTCACTCCTGCTTTATCTTTTGCTCTCTACATCAGAAGCTTTCAGGACAAGCCTTCCCACAGCCCTCCCTAATGATGATGAGGACCCAATGATAAGTCTGTGCTAAGTCACAGCTACAAATCCCATCCCATCCAACACTGAGGCTCTTTCTAGCCCATGTGTTCTTCCAGCTGCATGGCAGCTTGCCTTGGCACAAGGCATTTCTGGAAACACAGGGGCAGAGGGCTGGCACTGGCATTTCAGAGATCAGCTGTAATGTCAACCCACTCTTCAGCATGGATCTGGGCATTGCCTCCGCAACGGGAGCAGAGCAACAGAACAAACAACACCCAGCAAAGCAGCTGCACACCCAAGTTTAGATGGAAACAACTTCCAGCTGAGCACCATTCTGGATCCAGTGAGCACTGTCTGTCAGGAGGATCCTGTGAGATGTGAAGACTTTGCTCTAAGTCTCACTCAACCAGCAAAATCTCCTGAGTGAACAGAACAAATTTTTGTTTCCGCTGGGAAACCTGAATCAAACAAACAATGGGGACCATGGAACAGACCTCCTGGCTCCTTATTCTGATTTAAATTCTTCAATACAGTCCCCACTTTCTTTACTTAAAACAAGGCCTCCCAGCTCCCTCGAGAGCTGCTTTCCCAGCGTGAGCCACCAAGGACCTGCCAGCTACAAGGGAGCTGGCAATAACTCCACAAAGCTCTTCTGAACACCACACAGCAGGAGGAGGTAAATCAAATTGGAACACAGGGGAGAAAGCACACATCTGTCACCTTGATGAGTGGTGACTCATGGGGAAGGGCCAGGGCTCTCATAGCCAACCACCACCAGGCACTCCCCAGTGGGCTGAGATGATACCTGCAAGATCTCAGCAGAACTTAGGTGCAGACAGGACAGACCAGGATGCTCCAATTCAAACAAATTATCCAGGTTGCTATGGAAACCTCAAGGATGGAAAAGAAGCACTTTGAAAACAAACCATAGTGAGGCAGATTTCCTATCCATTCTGAAAAGGTTTATGACCAGAATAGGCAAAGTGGGTGTTAAATGCTTTTGAGCTAAGGCAATAGTAGCAGCACTTGAGGAGGAGGCATTATGGATTCACAGCACCCATCATACATGCATCTTTTATCCCAAACCCCAGGAGAACAGTCCTCTGTGTTTTGCCAACACTACAGTATGAAAATTCTGACTTCTTAACCCCTTCCTGGCACCCTGTATCCTTCTCTATTACTTTTGTAGCTATAAATTACCATTTGTAGCTATACATTACTATGTGCAGCTATACTAACCCTCTAAGTCATGGCAATCAGAAAAGACACAGAATTAATCTGACACAGATGAAGTAAAATTATCAAATTACCTATGGCTTTAAAGCCAATCAAAACTGAATAACCTAAAGAGTTCTTTTTCACAAAACAAAAAGAAAAAAAAAAAAAAAAACGAAACAAAAAACCCAACAAAACACCAAAAAAAAAAAAGCCCCAAAACCCAGAGGAGAGAAGTGACAGAACTTTGTTATTGATTTCAAATGGTGCTCAGATCAACCCACTGTGGCCCAGAAGTGCAGTACTGAATCAGATAGACACCAAGAGTTTGTGCTTGAATATTCAAGTATTCTGTGACAAAATGATTACAGGTAGCATGGGGACAGAGTGATGCCTGACAGCAGTGTGGTTAATTAATAATGTCATTGCTTATAGAGCTGCTAAATAAATGAATGGTTACATATGGATCCAGTGGTGTTTTTTTTCAGAACAGCTCCATCCTGCATGTTCCCTGAGGAAGGCAGGCTACTGTCCATCCTTACCCAAGACAGATTCCATTCATCTGCTCCTTACCATCAAATCTGAGGGCCAGTACATTTTGGAAAAGGTGATGGCTGTTTTGGAAAAGGGAATCTTACCTGGGGTTAGTAGATTCCACCTGTTTGAAAGTCAAAGACAAACAATTTTGAAGAATGCAATTTTTAAGCATTTTTTGAAAGCGACACATACTCTGCTGAAATCTTCAAGGACCCTTCCAACCCAAACCCACTCTGTATTTCGAAGAAAAGGAAAAAAGTAAACGCACAGTTTATATCTTCCACATAAAAATAGTGACAGAGAGGTGTTCTGTAAGCAAAGCAGCTCACAGGAGCTGCTGCAGCCCCTCAGATGGACAGAATCTGGTGCCAATCACAAAAACAAAATCCTCTGTAAACATATAAAAAGTATATTTTACTTTAGTGTACTCTGAGTTTAAATTATTTTTCAAAAAATTTCTGGCTGAGAATCTCACAACAGTCCTGAGAAGGAAGAAAGCAAGCTTTTAAACTGGAAAGTAATTCTTTTGGATGACATTTTTAGCAGCACTGTTTTCAAACCCAAGTAACTAGGGGAAAGGTTCCTCCACCTATCTTTAAGTTAAAGAATGGAACATAACTGCACATTTACCATCCTGAACGTGCTGCCCTTTGCACTTGACTGCAACAGCAGAAACAGCTGAACAGCAGCACAAGAAACGTGCACGTTGCCCTGGTCTCTAGTGAAAAATCTTTAGGTGCCAAGGGAACAGCACCAGCTCAAGAACTCTCAAATCTCACTTTTGTGCACACCCATTTTGAGAACTCGGCAGGAGGGCCTGTGGCACTCAGGAACAAATTTCTACTGACAGGAAAGTCCTTGCAGAAAGGCCTCCTGAGGAGCTCTGGGCTGCAATCTCCTCTGCCCAAAGCCATTCCTGCTGTCCTGGCAGGCAGGGGGTTGCAGTTTGTGCTAGCTGCATAGCTGACTTTTCTGGCCAAGAGGTGGGGGAAGGAAGGAACGGCCACAAGCTCCCAGCTGACACAGAAACTTGGCCCCTAGACCAAGTGCTCCCCTTGCAGCCAGTACACACAGGACAGGCTGGGGAATGGTGCCATATGCCTTCTCCTCACTGTCAAACAGATTGGGAAACCGTGAAGCTGACACGTGAGGGAAAGCAGAATGCAGCAGTCTCCAGCAACAAAAGGAGCACTGGGGGACAGAACATTTCTCCTATAAATCACTTCACTTCTGGAGAGAAAAACTTGGTCTTTTCCCAAATCAAAGGAAGTAAGGAAACTAAACCAAAATTTGCTAACATGACAAACTGAAACCAAGAAAAGGAGGTGAAAAACTGCTCTTCCACAACAGCATCAGCCTCCAGGGTCCTGCCATTAGTTACGTGCCACAGATTCACTGAATTCAAATGAGTTGCAATTTCCACAAGATGAGGTTTGGGGGTTTAAAAGTTTCCAACTCATCCCCATCTCCTACTCTTTCGTGCAGCCCGGCTGCTCTTAACACAGTGAAAACAAATGGAGTTGTATGAATTGATACAGGCAAAAGTGTTGCCTTCTCAGAGTACCTGACAAATTAGCACTGTCCCTTGGTTAAGGACACCCACTCTGTCAGCACTGCCAAACCTGGACACACACACAGGGAACTGCACAAAGCTCCAATCACCCAAAGAAAGTAAATATGAAAGCGTCTGCCTCCTTCAACTCTGATTCCCATGAAATATATCACAGAGCCTAGACAAAAGATTCAAATGCAAGAAAACAACATTAAAATACTCCAAAAATATTTCTGTGCAAATTGGGATGAAAGTAAAAACATAATTAGATAATGAAGTTAAGTTTTCTAGTAACATTCAATCATTTTAGAAGAATAATGTATGGTGGTTTAGGTAGAGAAGCTGTTTCTAGGAAATTATTCTGCCCAATTTCAGACCACAGGGAGTGAAATGGCTCAACATTTATGTCCTTTATGTCATCAATAACATTAAAACATATAAGTATTAATAACTTGACTGCTCTCACCAAAAAGAACTGAAACCACAACAAATGCTGGCTAAGAAAATACAGATATTTTCCCAACACCAATTTATTCTTACAGTGAAGATGGACATTGGCTTGCTTAACAAAGCTAAGGTGTTGCAAGGCATAGAGGATTCACCTGTGCTTAGATCCTACTGCAGGCAGGCAGTGAAGATGGACCAAACCTGTGATTTGATCCTGTACAGTGATGATATTTAGCTGCAGAAAGAACTTAATCACATGGGCAGCACTCCTGACTTAACATCCAGACTGCAGAGACGAGCCCACTGCTTCCCAGCAGCAGGTGAGTTGCAGCAGGCAAGCTTGAAGGATTCCAGCAGTCAGCCTGACATCTGCTCTGAGGTGCTGACTGCTGATCTGTGGCAGCAGAGATAAGAGAGGCTCAAGAGTGATATTCTTGAATGCAAAATGCACTGACCCAGAAGCAGGGTCGTCAGATGTCGCTGTTGCTTGCCTTTGCTTTGTCCTGTCTACATGGATAAACAGTTAGGACAAAGTCTGACCACAGAGTGCATGGCAGAAGAGAGCCTTGACCCCCTGTTCCACTGGACACCAGTATAATTCAAGTAGTTATTTAAGTTATGAAACTGCTGAACTGGAAAAGACTTTGCAACCTACAGATGAAAAGCAGTGCATCACCCTTTGGTGAAATGAGCTAATACCCAGAGATCATCCCCAAGTGCAGCTTTCCCATTTCTGTACAGACACACACAGGTGGCTTTACGTCACAGAATCCCATCTTGTCATTACTTCCAACAGAGATCACAACTTGGGAGTAAAGGAGAGACAAGACAAGGTGCAAACTATGTGCTCACTGAATCTGTCTGCTCCAGCTGGGACCTCTCACATCTTTCACCTGCTTTGTGCTCTTTTAAGAATAATCACTGCCCAAAAACTCAAAGCCTGTGATTTAGTCTCATCTAATAACATATAATTTCTGTCCACATAACACAGGCAGCTCCTGACTGCCAAAGGTCTTCATAATATCAACTCTTTTCCTCATGACTTCAAGGAACTCTGTTTCTGTAAGGCTTCCTTTGAATCAGCAGCAATCTAAGGCTCTAGATCTGCTGTAGGTGTACATCCAACAATGTCCAAAGGGGCTCTTCACTTCCAAACTCCACCAGGTTCTGGATAAATGATTCTAAATGTCAAGTTTATTCGTTCATCTCTAGAATGATACTCCTTAGGCACTCGATGCTGTAAGTGGCATTAGAGGGGGAAAAAAAAAAAAAAAGCATGAGCTTGTACATTTAAAATACAAGTAATCAAACAATTAAACAATGACTAAAACCTTCATTTCCTGAGATGGCTTTTTATTCATATTTCTAAACACTTAGGTAAGGTAAAAAAGGTTCTGACTGCTCAGGGCCACTGAAAACAAGAAGTCTTTGTACATTACTGTAGAATTCTTAATTAAGTTACAACTTTTGACATTCTGAATTTCTCTATTGATTTTGTTCTTTTCACTGCAGGCTGCAACCTTTGTCACTGAACTTTAATGCTGGAACATCTGAACTGATTCCTACTGCATTACTTGGCACATGAAAGCAAGCCCCTTGTTTCTGTGGGTGCTTTCAAATTCTCAGGCAGAAAGTAATACCAATGCCTTGGAAAACAGCTGTGCCACTGGAAGCAGAATGTCCCATACCTTCATGGGAGTGCTTCAGCATATCTGGACAACTGCATTGCAAGTGAAGCACATAAACTGCACCAAGGAGTTCTTACCTGCCAGTCCTCCTGGGTGGCTCCCTCCATCACCAAGAGAGTCCCATGATCAAGTGGGATTCTAAATCTTTCCACATAAGTATAGTCTCCATCTTCTTCCTACAAAGAAACATCAGACACTGAAGAAGCAGGCATGTGCATTTGCTAGAAAACCAGTGCTTTACAGCAGAGCTTAAAAAGCCTGTGAGGGAGGAGCTCTTCCAAAATCAAGAGGTCAAAGTAAACCTCTGTATTTCATACAAAGCCCAGGAGCTGAGCATTTAAACGATGACAAGAAGCCACTGCATCTCACTGGCTGGATCCCACAGGTAAAGTTCAACAACCAGTTCCTGGATTTAGTGCAAAATTCTGGAGGGAGGCTGCAAACCTTGTGGAAATATCTTAAACAGTTCAGTGTGGAGACACGCTGCAATGGCCACCCTAATTTCCAACAGTTAACTACTTCATCAAAAGTAACATCTTCCTGCTATCCTGAATTTCTCTTGTTACAACATTACATGCCTCTAGCTGCTGGAAGAAGTTTTTCTAATTTAAAAAAAAAAACTCCTTTTCCTATAACATCTGGTAAAACAAGTTGTCTTAATCACCACTAAGCAAAACAGAATGCTAAACTAAAAGACAAATAATTTGCAAACTTTTGTTAAGCCTTTAGGTTATGTGTAACTATTTTAAAACTCAAATATAATAACTAGACACAGTGACACACCCCAGCAGTGGTCTCACACATGCCACACTGATTGGGAACAGCAACTCTCTATTGCTTTGCACTATCCTTTCCAACTTTAAATCAGAGTTATACATTGCTCAGTGTGTAGCAGTACAACTTGAAGGTTTGTCCTTATAAAAGTTCACAGCTTGCTGAAAAGCTCAAAATAATGAGGTAGAGTAACAAATACTGGGAAAATGATGTCCTAAACTAAAACAGTTTGATTTTCAGAAAACCACCAAGGAGCATGTGTGTGTGTGTTTATAAATAAGATGCAGAGAGAAAAAGGACTGCACGTCCTGAAATGCAAAGAGCTTGGTTGGTATCAAGTCAGTATCAGAAACATTTTCTTATTGTCAATGGAAACGGGGAAAAAATTTCAAAAATAGGTATTATAAACATGACTGCTGAGGAAAAGCAGAGAAATATCACTGCATACATACTTTCTATTTCAGAGGGTTACATCATTTCACTTTGTGATGGACAACAGTGGGCTTATTTTTATCTCTTGCTCATCTTAATTAAAAAGGAATTCTGCTAAGATAAATGATTTAGGAGAAAACATCCTTTAGGCTTAGAAAAGTCAGTATGTAAAAACAATAATTAGTTTCTGGTTTAAATGGGACATCTCTGAACTCCATTTTCATGTCCATTTGCTTTGCAAAGCCAGAGAAATGAAACAAAAAGTTCTTACTTTCTTACGTGCCATTACTGTCAACCAAAGCTCCTTTCAGAACTTTTACTCCTAGAGCTGATGTCAGACCTACAGAAAACTCACTTGACTTTCAGAGGTCAAGAAGCTTATGAAGGAAATTTATTTTTGGCATCAAAGGTGGAAAAGACCTTCTGGTAACCAACATGGAAAGTGCATCAGGTGACTTCTTTATGTTCACTTTGTAACACTATATATGTACCACAAACCCACCTGCTTAAAAAACAGGTATAGTAAAGCAACTGTTCTGCTTTTTATATATTAAAATTTTCATAATCTTGTGTTACACATTCAAAACAATCCAAGCTTTACACTATCCAAGTACATTGGTTAAACTTTTTTTTTAAAAATCCTTAATGACAGTGACTACAGTTAATAAGTAAGGAAAGCTCAGTGTGAGTTGATGGGAAGTTGTGAATACAAAATCTGTAAGAATTCCTGGACTCCATCAAGGTTTTTTGTTGAAAATCAAAAAGACAAAAGATTTAGTACAAATCTATGTAAATCACCCAAGTTTGTTTCTTAAATCTCAGTAAAGTTCATTGCTATTGTTGTAGGAAATGGTTTCTGGACAGTGTAGAGGAATGTTCTATTATAAGGAAAAGTAAATGGAAACATCCTGTAGAAGAATGTATAAATAATAATGCATTTATACAGGCAAATGATGCAAAATCATTTTCAATTTCAAAAGTCAGCATTTTTCATGGAGAATACTGCCTTCTAGTCTTCTGCTTCACCTATTTACCAACTACCAAGAGCATCATCCTAACAAAAAGTTCAAATCTTGTATTTTTCAGATTTCATCTGGATTGTATTCCTGTTCTCCAGTATACACCTCTAGCACCAGCTGTGTAAACATCTTCCTCCACAACAAAGTATTCTCACCTAGCAATACTTCTGCATTGAACATGTTTATTTTCACTGTCTCTGACAAAATCCTCACTGCAGTTCCTTACAGATTCAGTAATGATGAGTATCAGTAATACTGCCCTTTGCTCACATGGCGCACTGGTTCTGCCTACACAGGCCTAACCTGAGACTCGCTCACTCCTGCAGCTGAGCTCTCCCTTCTTCCTCTCTGCCTGCCCACAGCTTCTGAGGCCTGCCACTGCTGGGGGACACCACCTCCTCCTCCACCGCAGCCACCACTGCCTGGGAATCTCTTTGATGCCAATCTAAAAGTTCAACCTGCTTCATATCTTGGTCTGAATCCCAGCTTATAACATGCTCCAGATTCCCACATTCATCTTCAATTCGGTCTGCTATGACACAAAGGGTTATTTTTCTGCTCTTTCCAGGAGAGTTTTACCTTCTGCTAGGAAAAAAGGACTGTGTTCAGGGATTCATCTGAAGGACAGACTGGCTGTCTCTCTGAACACCAAGGCTGACTCTCTGAACACCAGAACATGCTGCTATTGTCTAACAGGTGTGAAGCTCCCTCCCTTCCCAGCAGCCATCAGTTTCCTTGGTTATAGATGGAAGAAGGGCAAGCTGACAGCTGGCTTTCTAACTCCCTCCCCAGTTCACATGGCCATTTGCTGGATGACCACCCAGCTGTCCCTATGGCACCCACCCCCCACCACAGGGCACCTCCCAGTGGAGGGTGGGGCATCAGGGATCACCCTTCTCCCCACAGCAACACTCCCCCCTCAGCTTCCAGGGGAACACAACGAGATAACCTGGCCCTGTCTCAGAGCTGAGCCGTGAACCAGCAATAGCAGAAATGGTGTGAGGCTGAACCAGAAACACCCATCCCAGAGTGGAACCAATTCCTCTCCACTGGCAGGATGAATTCATGTCCAAGTGGGCCTGGGGGCTGAGGCTGTGTGGGCAATGCGAGGAGGTCACAGTGCCACAGTGGTGACACTCAGGCTGCAGGCAAGCACACGAGGACTCACTGACTCAACAAGAGCTGTGTGCACTGTGTATGAATCACAGCTCCAAAGCAAAGCATTTGTCCCCTGATTTCAGTGTAGGCAGGAGCTACAATGATGAGGGCAGGAGGAACAAAAAAGCAGGAGCAAGGTTAAAGCAATTTATTGGAGCTAGAAGAAGAAAATAGAAGAAGCCACATCACTGTAGACTTTTAACTATGAAGTAGGCACCCAAAAAACCCTAGAAGCCATTTAAAGCAAAGGAAAAATACCAGCTGCTATCATGTAATTGGTTCAAATAAACAGAAGAGGCTGTATTTAGAAAAAAGAATGCTTAAAAATTCCAGCAGGCAAAATAAAACATGCTGGAGTCATGTTAATTCCCATGAAGTCGCCTTATTCCAGTGATGAATTTACACCTGAAATGTATTTGCAGCTTTTTTAACATGCACAGGGCTGAAATCCCAGTAAGAATTATTTCTACTTATCCACAAAGAATGCTTGTTTAAGAAGATATGAATAGTCTATGCATGTCTCTGCACTCCTTTACCCTCTATTATATGATGAAGACTTACCCAGTACAGTGCTCACCAAAAAGAAAAGCAGAGGACTGAACCTTTCCTTACCTCACCCTAGGACAATTTTCAGGATAATAAAAAAAACCACTTGAACCTAAGTAACTTTTTTTTCATTTCTGCCAAGTGAAAAAAGATTTCAGATTGTGCAATTGTTTCAGAGTGACTTATATAAACACTAGCAAACTACTAACACACCATTGTCAAAATTCACATAAACATGCACAGAAAATGCAACCCATCAACACTACTGTTCATCTTTTCAATTAGAGAAACAGGATTTTATTCACTATCAGGTTCATCCACATTTCAACTGATAATCTAGAAAATATTTGTAGAGATACCAACATGAACTGAAGTCTCTGATCTGGCACTCTTCAATTGCCCTTCAAGCTGCCTATGTATTGTGGTACATGCAGTTTTGTACTCAATACATGGTCCCACACAGGAAACCATGTTTTTTCCTAGGAGCATTTATCCACAGTGATGTTCTACCATAAGTGATGTTCTCATCTTGTATGTTCATTTTATCTTTCATCTCAAAATACTTAAAAGCACTTACAAGAACAGAGGGAAACAAAGGTCTTTGAAACCCTAAAATCTGAAATAGCACAGTGTTGGCCCTCAAATGGGTTTAATTTTGGGAGCAAAAGGATTTACTTCCTATTTCCCTCCTCAATGAAGGCTAACTCTGGAAAACTCAATATACTGATACTGGCTGATCCTGAAACCAGGGAGAGCCTGAATGCCTGTGATGACTGTTAATATGAATTCCTTTTCCCTAGATTACATTACTCTTCCTGTAACTTGCTTTTTAACAAAGGAATGATCAAACCTCAAAGATCTACAACCAGTTTTAACTTTCTCTTAATGAAAGAGAGAATGCTACAGTACAATAGGGTATGGAAATTACTTATTTAGTACAGCCTGAAAGGTTGTAATTTCCATCAGAGCCTCTTGTAACTCCCACTTTGCAAAGCATCTATTGTCATAGGATGCTCTGAGGAAACTTTGGGAATGTGCAAAGAATACATAATGTGTGCCATGTAATTATTAAGTATGTATTCCCTCAGGCACAGGACACACTTAATAGCAACTATTCCAAAGATCTGCACATGGGGAGTCTACCTCAGAAAAAAGGTATGTCACTTGCAAAAGGGATACACTTCATAGCAAGACTCAGCTAGTCAGAAATATCAGGTCAAAGGTGATAAAAAAAAAAAAAATGAGGAGACCTTGAGGGATACATCTATAGAAAACCATCCATCCCTGGAAGAAAAGGGAAGAAATCGTGCAGTACAGCTCAAACAAGGCAGTCAAGTACAAATGGCACAGACTGAATTTCCCCTTTGCTAATAGTGGGTGTCTTTTCAGAAAATCTATAAAAAAGGCATCTTACTCAAGAACTGGGATTGATTTTTAAGAGAGAACCTGCAAAGTTTATACTGAAGTTTAAGTGTATTTTATTCTGATTCTGTTCTGATTGATGGGGAACACAGGGACTTCTAAAATGAATCCAAGCACTATTTACAGTTTTCTGGAGGAATAAACTTTCCAGCTGACATTTTATTATCAACACAGCATCAGGAATACTTACTCATGCTATGCTCACTGACATAATAGACTGGTTATGTGATCTCATGCTCAGGGACCAAGATTAAAATCACTTCAGGCAACAAAGAATTTACAAATTGGAGATCTGGTGAAAACTACAAACTCTTTGTTTTCTGGTTCAATTTCTGACCTTTTCTGCTCAGACTAGGTGACCCAAGGTGGCTCTTGATGAGTAGGCCTCAGTATGTCAGCATAGAGTTTTCCTGTAGGCTGGTAATTATCACCTCTGCTTTCTGTACTACCTACTCAGAATAAATAACAACAACACAAGCAGCTAGCAAACTTCTTTCCAAAGTTGTCAAAGACTGCACAAGCAGAAAATTCATCTGAAACAGGACATGCTAAAATAAGGCCTGTATTCTCAACACATGTGAATCCTTTACTTGGATAAATACAAACTGGGAAATTTAAGCTGGCTTATAAACAAAGCACTCTCAAGCACAACACTTTATCTAGAAAGGGACTACTGAATCACCAATTAACTCCCAGAAGGATATTCCGCAGGTCTCTTTATCCAAGTAAAGGATCTCTATTTAGCCTGTCAGTATGATGTGACAGCTTCCAAGGCATTTAATGGGAAAGAAATGAGCTTCTTCCCTTTGTTCACTGCCCCTCAATCTGAATACACACGCATCAAAATGAAAACACTGTCAAGAGGATTTTTACTTACAAGAGTAGTCAGAACTACTCTTCACCCCATGTACACTCTGCATTACATAACATTGTCCTGAGTTTAAGAAAATGCAACTCTCTGATTCATTTGCACAGTGTAAGTCCACTTCCAGCACCACTGATCTCATTTTAAGTACCAGAAAGGGCCCTTATTTGGGCAGAAGGCTGCCCAGGTTCCAATTCACTGCAGCACTACACTACACTGCTGCACATTATACTAGAGTTCTCCCATCCCCTTCCTCAGAATGTCATGGTCCATGCAAGAGATTTCTTGAGCCCTGCACTTATTCCACAGAACTTTGCAAGTTGTGCTTTCATTAACTTTGAAATGCTTTAGTAATTAAGTTTCCTTAAATGGGGAAAACAATAAACCTGTTAGTAGCAGTAGGAGTCCCTCAGTGCGGTACGAACACTCACAGGGGAAGGTTTTTTCCTCATCTCAAAGGTCCGAGTGGCCCCCAGGCTGAGTGAGGCAATGACAGGGTTTCTCCCCAGCGATGGCTCGCTGTCACTGTGCCAGTCCACGCTGTCCTTCTCACTGCGGTACAGGTTGCAGAGCAGAGAGTTGAAGGTGTGGCCAGTGAACGCCTCAATGCGCTCCTTCAGCACGCTCAGCACGGGATGCCACTGCAACCGGCACAGAGGAAATGTCAGCGCCACGGACAGAAGGCAAAAACTACCAAGAAACAAAATACACTGCACTTTAATCCCAATAAACTTAAAATCAAACAAATTACAGCAATTCTGCTGATATTTTTAGTAGATCAGAGGAATGGGTGGGGCTTTCTGCAAAATAGTCACACGTTACCCATTGCTCAATCTCTTAAAACTCTGAAGCCAGGCTGCCCTTCACACTAATGCAAGCAATCAGTGACTAAGTGACACTGCTCTCAATTGCCTGCAGCTGTTGACAGAGAACAAGAGGAAATGGTTGGCATAACACAGCCCTCTGTCCCACTCTGTTAACACAGCTTGTTGAGCTCAACTCATCACCTCTTGGGATTTTAACTTCAACACTGTAACTCTTCAGTGGGTCTCAAAACCAATGTCACTGGCCCTGGATTTCATCCCTTCCTTTGCTAATATCTTGCTGAGCCTACAGCCGAGGGAAGCTCTGTACATTCCATTACAACTCAGTCCAGTTATTTAATGTTATGAAGTTACATCACGATTTTCATCTGTCAGAGTGCTTTTAAGAACTTCACAAATATATAAAGAAAGAAAAAAAAGCCAAAGCAATGTAGGCCAGAATTTTTGCCCATTATGTAAGCAGAAACAGAGAGCAAAAGAGGATAAGAAACTGATTCCAAATCTCCCAGGGCACCACTGGCAGAAAAAGCAACAGACACCTGAGAATATTTTCTAGTATCCATCTCTAAAAAACAAGGCTGAACTACCTTCTTTCCAAGCTTCCCTGCATTTAACAGGTATTTAACTTATTGGTTACACTGCAGCTAAGTCATGCCTTCAACAATTAATCATCATGTGATTAATTAATTCTAGGTAAACATAGCTTGCAGTTCTGGAACATAACCGAAAAGCAGTAATACCACCCCAAAAAAGTTTGCTTTGCAACTGGGCTGCCTGAATGTGCAGAGGAGTCCAACAAGAATTATTGAGGGCACTTTTCAGTGACCAACCAGGACTATATTTCTTCAAGTCCCATCACAGAATTATGAATTACTAAAATGTTGCCATACAGTGAATTTTACAGTGTAATTGAAAGCCCACTACAAACCTGCAGCAGTGGAAGTAGTTTTGTTGAAACAACTCTATTACTGCTTACAGAAAAACATTTCTAATAACAAAAATTATTGAGGCACACACACTGGATTATATCTAGAAGTGCTGCAATCACACCAATTCTTACCAAACAAAAAAGGAAGGACACAAAGCTAATTACTCCAACAGATAAAGTGTTTAAGGGAGTAATCAGTTTTGGCTAAGCTGTGCACTAAATTACATTTTACTCAAGATATTTTTGTGCTAGAAACTCTATTCTACAGGTAGGGACTGTACTTTTACACCATCCCTACTTTTCTAAGCTGCAGGTACTCCCACCTACAAAGTTGTGTGAAATACCAGTGTCCCTGTGCAGTGTACCCATAGATCAGCCTATGGGCAACTTCCAGCTGGGGAAGGGTTGGCTTCCAGCTATGCAACTTCTCCTGTGCATCTCACTGCCTGCTTGAGTTTCTTCCTCTCAGTAAAAAGCAGAAATATTCCAGAAATAAAAGACAGAACTACCGCCTGAGTGATTCACTTAGGCCTTGTAATAAAAGACAGAACTACCGCCTGAGTGATTCACTTAGGCCTTGTACCTTTTGGATGAGAGAAACAAGCCAGTGGCTCAATGAGTACTAACTCAGAACTTGATGCAAACTGAAATGAAACCTTGAATTCAGGGTATATGGGCTCTATCCAATCTCTGAACAGCGATGGATTTCACAACAGGCAGTTCTGAACTGGATTTAAATCATTAGTGTACAACAGAATGATTTTGTGAGGGCACTTCCAATCCCTAAAGCCATTCAGCTTTCAGAAAAGCCCAGTTAAAACAGTATTCACAAATGAGTACCAAAGAAATGCTTGTTTTTCCACCACAAGTTCCATAGACCATAGAATTTTTAACAACAGTATTTCTGAGACTACGAAATCTTCACAACTCATCATGTTAAATAGAGCCTTTCCAACTCTTCCCAAACATCCCACTTTGGCAGCAGTTCTGGGACTTGGGACACTTTCCTCTCATGCTATCCAGCTTTCAACAGTGACATCTAATTACTGCTGTGGAAATTTTAAACAAAGCAATTCCAAGAGACAGGCTGATGGGACAACAGGCTGAGAGAAGGGGGGGGGGAGGGAGAGAAAACACAAACAAAACATCACTGAGTCACTCAGAAGGCTTTTAACTCTTCCAAAACAGTGTGGGAAATGACATGCTACAATCTGGAGTTGCTGAGCAGATGAGCTGCTCAGCAGCTCACAGATGTGTGAATTTCACAGCATCCACATAGGAACCAAAATAAGCCTAAACTTTCATTTAAGCAGCATTGAACCTAAGTGTTTCTGAAAGTAACTATTTCAGTAATTAGTATTACAATATCTTTACAGTAAAAAAATCAGTATTATCGTGGGCAGTAAAATCTTCCATACAAAAATGCTTGGAATAAGTCACACAGAGCAATTCAGAGTTTTGTACAAAGCTACAGCAACCCAAAGCAAAACTTTAAACTCTAGAGTAGTAACCTCCTTTTGACAACATTTGGCAACTAAATCACACTGACTGCTCTCAGTCAACTCACTCATGAAGTGTATTGTATAAAACTGATCACATTCCAGTAGAATCTGCTGCTAACAGATTCTCTAGACAGCTGGAATAGAGGATAGAGGGAAATTTTGTCTCTTGATCTCTGCAAAGGATTTCTCTGAATACAATAATAAAACACATACAAACATATACATACATTTGGATTTGGCTGCATTGTTATCCTGGAGTATGTGTAAGGAAGTTCCCCATACCAGCATGTAAGCCGTGGTTCCTCAAAAGATACTTCTGAAAAAAACAGGAAGACTTTCTCAGTTGATTTATCAAACAATTTGAAAATGGAAAGATAATACAATTCTGCCAAGAAACTTGATCAAAAAGATATTGTCCATTCACCTAAAGTTAAAAAAGCAGCCCCTTAACATAATGAACTCAAGTGAGGGAATTAAATTATTCAAAATCAGGTGTGCACCTGCAGGAGGAATTACCTTGCCAAAATCTTGGAAACATCAATTTTCTTACCCCAAAAAGCCAGACGCAGCAGAGACTGGATGAGTTAAAGATAACAAACAAAACTGAAAATTTATCTTGCTTTATGTTCACTTGGTGCTGGTGCCCAGTAGGCTGGCCTAAGTTGCAAGATGCAGATGGATGCACTGGAAAGGCTGAAGTACAAAAGGATTGCAGCATCCTTGGGACACTACAGAAACAAAATGCAGCAGGGCTGGACACAATATTTTGTTAAATATGTTCGTGCTCTGTGGTGTAACACAAATATCAGGTTAAAAATACTTTTTTGGCTTATGAAAAGACTATCTTGGCAACTATTTCTCATGCTTGACAGGTAGCATTCTCCATTATACTGTCCCTTTATTGCCAGCCAACAAACACACAGGTTGAAATGAAGACATTTTCCAGTCCCATCCAGTAACTGCTCTGATACATTATCTTACATCAGTTCCTGACTGAAAGCAAAATTTGGCTAGAACAGGTGCCCCTTAGTGAACAAATCCAGAATAGCAGCCTCTCCACCAACTGCACATTGGAACCAATTACTAAAGCCAAAGGAAAATGAACATGTTCTGCTGGAATTTTCAGTAAAATCGGCAAAAAATATACCTCATGAAAGAAACCTCCAAGAACACAGTTTTTAAGTATTGCTGAGAGATTCTGTGATGGTGGCCAGACTAAACCTTAAAAAATGAGTGAGAAAAAGAACTGGAAATGACAGAAGAAACAGTAACATTCCAATATTTTTAAGATAGACAATTTTATTTTGAAAATATCTCATTTAGCTGGCAACAGTAACATGATATTAGAGATTGAAAAGTAAGCTGCAGTAGCCTTCAGATGTGCATGGAAACTTGAAGAAGTGGTAACACTGAAAATGAAAACCAGTTCTAAGCAGTGCACAGATTCTGGTATGGAACTGACCTGAATGACCTGAAAAGGTGGCCACACACTCCTTACCCTGCCTGACGTGCGTTCGCTGACCCCAGGGGATGTCCTGGAGGAGCTGCTCAAACATCCAGTCTGCTTGTTCTGAGTCAATAAAGCCAGGAATCAAATGAATCCTAAAGATGAAAAAGAAAAATGGAAGGAATATACACTTCTATATCTGCTTTGGGAAAATATTTTCATTTCCAGGATTCCCAAAGGAATTAGAAATGGCTGTAATGCATCATATCAAAAGTCAAAGCCCAGTATCCCGTTTCTGACCACAGCCAAAAGCACATGTGAAGAAAAGAATTGAAGGGCACCTGTTGAGTCTTACCCTCACCAAATGAATGTACTTTCTTTTCAAAACTTATAAAAGCATATGACAACCAGCAACATACCATGAATTCCAGAATCAGCCATATGCTGTGAAAAATGGCATCCTTCTGCTTGCTATTAACTTCACATCTGATAAATCAGACAGACCTGATTATGGCAATACAATCAAAATCAAGCAAATAATTGCCCTTTATTCACCATCTCCTCATCACTCAGAATTTGACAGCCCTTTATCCCTACTGCCATTCCTGTTCTCTTTTTCAAAGCATAAGGAAAAGTATTTAGCATAAGGACAGTATTTAACATCTCCTATTTTTTCATTTCCATATGTACAGCTAATATTTTGATTGGACTAACGGTCACCCAGGAATTACAACCACTGTGGTGGGCTGCAGAGTAGGAATGCTGCTAACAGCAGTTCACTCTCACAAGTACTTCATGCCCCAAAGATGTCACAGTAAGAGTATATAGTAAAGGTGCTAAAAAATATGCAAATCTGGCTATTAACTTTCTAGAAATATATATATTCCATCAGTGTATTATGAAAACAAACTCCAGAAAATGCAGGATAACCCAGCTGAGTGTGTATCTTGTCTCCTTCCAGCTGGTCAAAGCTTTTACTTTTCAAAATACTTTAAAGATTTATTTGCATCTTCAGAAGAAACTAAGATGAAGGCACAAAAATAAAATAATACAATAATCAGAAGAAATTAAATAAATGTACAAAAAATTACTATGTCCTTGGCATTTTTTCCACTATTAATAAAAACCTATCAAATTCAAAAGAAGAGGCTTAATACTGATATTGCAGCTAAGTCAGCAAGGTAAAATTTTACTTAGTAGGAATCACAGAACAAGTAGGTTTTGTTTTGAAGTGCCCTGAAGCTGAAATAATTAAGGCATGGCATATAAGCACAAGGGACAATCCTGAGGTTACCACAATTGTCTAAAGTTAAATGCTTTCATTAGATTTATTTAAAACAATTCCAATTTACAGCTACAAGTTTTGGGCTGCTCTTAACTGCACAACAGACACCACACACTTGCTAAGACAGGAATACTGATCCAAATTCTCATCAGCAACTTGCTGTGAACCATGACACAAATGGACACAGCCCCTTGTCCTTATTCTGGAAAGAGCAGCAGATGCAGTACACACGGTATGTCAAGAGGTTTCATTTTCTTCTCTTCAGTTCTGCTCAGAACCAGCTCAGTCCCTGCTATGTGCCACTCAAAAGTATTTCCAGAAGTACTCTAGACAGATGATGCACAGGAAGTGCCATGTGCAGCTGCTGAAGTCAAAACCCTCTGCAGAGACTGGACTTCAGAAAGCTGAGTATCACCACATTACTCTGCAAAAACCATTAACATTTCATCCACTTACCTAGAAATGCCAGTGGGTCCCTTGCTGAGCTCATACACACCAGGCTTGCTGAGGACGTAGAAAAGAAAGAACCATCAGAAAGACAAACAAGAAATTATCTTAGACTGAGCAGCACAGACTAGAATTGCTGTAGGCCTGGATTAGGGAAAGTTTTCTTTAAAAGAGAAAAGAAAGTTAGAAAAGGAAAGAACTAATGTCCTGGACATAAAAGTCAGAGTAAGGCAGCAAGGTGTGCTGCAGAAGCCAATGAGTTTGTGTGCACCTCCTGTCCCTCCCTCCACCAAAGGCTCAGTACAGCTTTAGGGCTCTTGGAAAAAAATAAAAGAAGGATGTCACAGGGAACCTAAGGGAGACAACCATACGTGACTGCACTCAGATCACTGTTTGCATTCACAGGTACACTGAGAAAGAAAATTCCACCAAGACAGCCAAACTGAGCCAAGCTGGATTTTCAGTATCTCTAACTCCACCATACAGCACCACACTTTGTCATGCTTCATGCCAACGTTATCCTGGGAAGATCCCCACTTCAACACAAAGGGTAAGTGACATACAAATACCCAGCTTCACTATGAAACTTACTATCAGCTACTTCTCTGAGTCCTGAAAGAAGCTGCCATATCAGCTATATTTCTGGTATATTCCAGAGTAAGTAATTTCTAGCACAGTTTACACTGGGACTGTCCCAGGAAAATGTACCCTGCTAACAAAGGAGACATACTGGCAATTGTGCTGAACCAGAATGTTCAACTCTTCATGGTTACTGGCTTGCCAGCTATACAAAAGGCACAAAAACCAGTTAACAGACTTGGGCTCTCCTGGTAACACATTCAGCTCATGATAAAAGGGTTAAAAGTCCACAGTTTCTACTCTTACCGACAGTGACAACAGAACAGGCACAGAGAAATCAGCAGGGTACTCACTCTATCACACCTGCCTCTGGAACTCTGCGCTCCACCTGAAAGGCAACGAGACAGTACACAGGGAATATTAAAGTATCTGGCACTCTCCAGTCAAACATCATCTCTAGTGACTCTGTGTAGCCACACACTGTGTGGCCAGTGAGAAAAACACACCTGAGGGCAAGAGGGAAGTAGTAATAGCTCAGCCACTCCCTCCTCGCCCCAGAAACACTCAAACGCAGCTACCACTGCAGGCTGGTTTTTAGCCATCAACTGCCCCCTAAAGGACACTGATTTCTAAATTATTTAGGCATCACAATACTTGATATTTATCAACTGCAATCAAGAAAATTTGTATTTTTATATTTATAAAAATATCCTCATGTAAGGAAAATTTCAGAACAACCCTAAGAAACATGAACAAACTGCAGGCCTCAGTCAAATGAGCAAAACATGAAAGATCAGACATAGCAGGAGCTTACACTGTACAGCTGTCTGCACAGCTGAGATAGCTGTATTTTGTTAAGAGACAAAGTAGTTTAATCCAGCCTTGGCTATCATTCTGGTTGTCTAAGGGATTTATGCTGCTCTTCTCTGAGCTCAGTACAGTTCTGATTTGCAAGGAGTTACTGCATTGAGCCAACAAGAGCATCAAAATATAGTACTATACAGATAGCAGGTCTCTGCCATGGGGGAAAGAGAATCTTCCCAGGCCATCTTCCAAGCCTAGATGACAGCCTTTCAAATAGGTCTAGCTTAGAAAGAAGAGCTCATTATTATCTTTTTTCCCAATCAAGGAAGTTTCCATACGCTGCATGGAGCACAATATCCTTCATCAGCTGATGAGACAAAGTCTACAAAACAAATACCACGCTCTTCCCCTTTAACAAGTTAAGACAGACACCCCACCTGAGGAAAACAAGAAGAGCTCAAATGTGCTTAGGACATTGCAGACTGAATATTTAGTAAAACATATTCTTTTGGCTCTCTATAAAAGAGTAGTTTTGAACAGGCTAAACAGAGGGACCATAACCTTCTTTTCCCCATATACACAGAACAATTGCCAACTCTGCTTAGCAAAAGCTCAAAGCTCAGCTCAGATTTTAAACAATTAACTATATTCTCAAACAATTGCTACCTATCATTTGAAGTTTTATAACAGATGAGATTCTGCTAGTTACCCTGTAAGCTTTACCTCTGATGGCTTTTCAAAGACAAACTGGTTTTGAGTGTGAGGCTGATCTTTCTGTCTCCATGCTGGCCTTGCACCTGCAAGGGCAAGGCCGCTGGCCACAGGTGCCTTTGGTGCTAAAAGAAAGAAAGAAGGAAGAAAAGATCACATGAATTGAATATTACCATACTAAAAAATATAGTTAGGAAAAACTTACGGAATCATTCCTTGGAGTATTCTCCTATGCTTCGCAGAAACTTCAGGAAATTGCCAAACCTAAGAGTCAAAATTGCTCAGGAACTGATTTTTTTTATATGTAGTTATTTGTTATTTATTTTGTTTCCACAAACAAAACTGAAAACGTACTTTTATCTGAAAGGATGACATCTATAAATTTTCAATTCTAAAACAAACGCCAATCACACACCAGCAGAAATTGCTCCATGCAGCTAAGCTGCTTCCCTCTGTATTCCTTTTCTTAGGGGAAAAAAAAAAAAAGACAAAAAAATTTTTATTAAAACAGAATTTTTAAACCAGGGAGAAAGCAGAAGAGCAACTTTGGCACACCACTTCAGGTGTTCAGGTGTTTTATTTACACATGCAAACAAGCTTTGAAATGGGCCTGAAACACAGACAGTCTTCACTCTGCGTAATTCAATGGGGATTTTTTTAAATCCCTTTAAAAATAGAAACAATGAAATGCACCTGTGACAGAAAACTGAAGCCACATGCACAAGTCAAAACAGTTGTCTATTCTCTTTCATGATTAAAAAAAAAATCAGCTTGCCTAGAATGCTCAGTTTGCAGAGATATAGCAGTTTTATGGGAACTAGAATCAATGAGTGGAACGTGTTTTGAGCATGTTCACAAACACAAACCAGTCCCTCCTGCAAGACTGGAAACCTTCAAAGTGCTTATCTGCCTCTGCACTCTTTGGTTTCAGTGTTTGCTAAAACACTGAAACTCCATCCCTTTTCGCTACTTCTCTTTGTTTTACAACGTTTTCCCCGTGACAAGCCAAACGAAGGCACATCACGCGCTGTACGGACAAGAAGTTGCTGCCTGTCCTTAGAGAATCCCCTGCTCCCAACCCCACTGGTCTCACCGGAGCTGCCCGAGACGCGCTCAGCCCAACGCGCGCCTCAGCCCACACCGCACCCTGCGCTCGGCAGCCAGAACCGCCGCACCGGGGGCACCGGCGCAAATTTCACTGGAAAACTGCGTTGGAACACCTGCAGCTCAGCTACCGACGGGAACGGGGCGAACGGGGCCGCACGGGGCGGTCGCAAAGTGCGGCCGGAGAGCGGCGCCCCTGCCTGCTGTTCGCCCCGTCGCGCCCAGGCCGGCGGCGGAGGGAAGGAAGGGAAGAGCGGCTGTGGGCGCTCCTTACCTGCGGGCCGCCCCGCCGGGGCGCCGGCCCAGCCGCCCTGCACCCGGGCCCGCTGCCGCCGCTCCGCCATGCCCGGCCCGGCCCGGCCCGGCCCGGCCCTGCCCGGCCCGGCCCTGCCCAGGGCCCCGAGCCCCGCCCCCGCCTGGGCCCGGCCGTGGGGCCGCGGCTCCGCCCGCCCGCCGCGCACGCAGGGGCTGAGCTGCCATTAAAGGCGCCCCGCGCCCGGGCCGGCAGCGCCGCCCGAGCCGCCTCCCGCTCCGCTTGTCCCGTTCCAACAGGGGATGAAAGCGCAGCCCGGGTCTTGCGTGGCGCCGGGAAGAAAAACATTCTTGGAACCAGCAAGGGACGGGACGGATGGCACCAGAAACCCCCTCCTGTCTTCGGGCAGGTGCCCAGGGTAGTCCCCAAGGACGTGGACAGCTATTAAATGGACATTACCTCCATCACTAAGGTGAACAGACATTCAAAATCAAACTCAAGGTAGTTTAGGTTAAAGTGTAAGTAAAATTTAGGTTAAAAAATAGTTTATAGTGATGCCCTGTGGCAGCTTGGAAAATGGAACATCTCAGGGCATGAGAGTGGGAACCCAACCTGCAGCCTGACACCATGTGAAAGGGGACCAAGGGCTCAGAGAACCTCTTTACCTGGGTGCCTCCCTCTGTGCCAGTTGGATGTGCATGCTATTCCCTCTGCCATACCTTTCTGGAGACCTTCAATAGTTAAAAAATTGTTAACTGGAAATAAATGCTTATTAATAGCTTAACAGTTCTAATAAAAATTTTATTCTGCTTATTTAAAGTATCAGCACTGTAAAATCATAGAATATCCTGAATTGGAAGAGATCCACAAAGATCATCTTAAGTTCAGCTACTGGCCTTGCACAGGGCAGCTCCAAAAATCACACCATGTGCTTTTTGAGAGTGTTGGCCAAACACTTCCTGAACTCTGTCAGGCTTGGTGCCATGATTACTTTCCTGGGGAGCTTGTTCCAGTGCCCAAACTGGAACTTTGGAGTGAAGAACCTTTTCCTAGTATCCAACCCAAATCTCCCCGGACTCAGCTTCATGCTGTTCCCTTGGCTCCACAGAGATCAGTGTCTGCCACTCTACCTCCCCTTGTGAGGTCTCCTGTCAGTCTCCTCCAGGCTGAACAAACCAAGTCACCTCAAACTGCTCTTCTCACAAGGCTTCTCCTCTAGGCCCTTCACCATCTTCACAGTTGTCTTCTGGACACTCTTCAATAGCTTTGTATCTTATATTGTGGCACTCAAAACTGCACATGAAGTATTCAAGGTGACAGTCAGTGCAGAGGAGAGCAGGAGAGTCACCTACCTTAACTGGACAGAGATGCTGTGCCTAAAGCACCCCAGATATGGGGTAGATGACAGCCAGGAAAACAAATTAATATAAGCACTGGTTTTGGCATGTAAATTAGAGTAATTTTCATTGTTATTACTCACAATAAAGGACAATGTACCCGCAAACATTTTTATAAGAAAAACATAACACATTAAAGACTCAAGAGTAATTTCCATTTTATTTGTTTTACAAAGTCAAAAACATACAGATTTTTTAGTCCAATGCTTTCACATCAGATCCAGAGCAAACCAAATCATGTGCTCATAGAGAACTAATACCACCAACTTCACCATCCCTGTTCCAAAAAATTAAGAAAACTATGGGATAGGATCTGCATCTCAGATTTGATCAGCACCATTGCATCGGTATTCAGGTTTTTTCAATGTACAGAAATGTTAGCCCCAAATCATATCTCAGTGCAACACATCTTACTTCAAAATCAGAGCTTGAAATTATTCTTTGAAAGACAGAAAAAACCCACAGAAAACAGTGGTAGCTGCTTGCAATTTCATTTGCCTTGCAAGTTTTATACATTTTATGTTTATAAAAAGGAATGTTAGAAACCAAAATCTTTAATAAAGTAGGTAAACACAGATAACAGCAGTGCAGACTTCTCATGTACTCTGATCCCTGTGTCCAGGAGTTAGGTAACTTGAGCCTTATAGGAACATTCCACTTTGGAACAGAACCATGAAAACAAACAGTTAATTTTAATGCAATTAAATTAAAACTGTTCTACTCTTCAAGACATTTCCTGGTTCTCATTTTTAAAGCCATCTAAATATTCAGGAGTCACATTTCAAAAGACCTCACCAGAAAGACAGACTGATACATAACTTCAAAAAGAATTTAAACCACCGTTGCTAACAAGGAGAGTAACTCATTTCAAGCTCTGCATTTGAAGTACCCATAATCTTTTACATAGCAACCAGCATGTAACATGTAACTTGTGACATTTATCTACATTGTGTTATCACCACCTATTACAAAGAGCAGGCACTGAACTTTTAAAAATGTTATTACAAATCATGAAGATTACATATTACTGAAAAGTTAGAATCCATATTCAAGACCCAAGATTTTAAATGCTTTTTGCAGTGTTACTTTATGTATATATTTATAGATGAGCTATTACACTTATTTCTGGTTTTGGCCCATTTCCCTCAAGTTCATAACCAAAAAAATCACACTGGACCATGTAAGCAGGGGAGCACTCATGAGCTGACTCATAGTGCAGAATCCTTGCAAGTATCCAAAACCTGAGCTTCAAGAGGTCAATACTCTGGAAATAGTACTAGGTCACCTTTTAAAATAATTATGCTCCCTTTCCTCTCCTGCCCACCTGCCCAGGAATATATGAGAACTACTTTTTTTTCTGCCCTTCACCCATGAGCACAAGAATAGATATGATGGACACTGTATAACCAAGATGTTCCTCAAGAGCGTGATGTCTGATCAAGTCCATGAAAGTATTTCATAAAGCACAATGCAATTTTAGTTCAAAGCACTTCCCCCCTCATAATAGCTATAAACAAATAAAGCCTATTTTTCAATCAATATTAGAAGTCAACAGTCTTGTTTCATCTGTATCCTCAAAACAAGACTGTTCTCTTGTTAGAAAGCACACCTACGATTGGAGATGTTTAAACATTAGGTCTACTTGATGTTGCAGCATGGTGTGGAACTTGCAGGAGTCCCAGGCTCCCAAGATTGAGTTGCTTCCCACTTACTTCTCCTTCATTTTTTTAAAATAACGAGCCCGTATTTGTTTGTTTGTTTTCATTATCAAGTTAATGGCAGTAGATGTAGGTAGAAGAGAGATGACCCATCCCTAAAAAAAAATAAATAAAAGAAGAAAAATAAAAGAAGAGGGTGAGGTCTCAGCATTTTGTAACCTGTACTAATTACTCTCTTTTCCATAATAAGCACAAAGGGCATTTCAGATCCTCACATTCTCCAAGGTGACTTACCATGAGTGCATGAGGTAGGTACCCGTTGGTCTGGGACTGCAGGCCCACCGTGCCCAAGGCAGCTCTCACATACCTCTCAGGACTGGGCTTGTCGAGGGTCGGCTTGCGGATTTTGGACATTTTTGTTGCCACGTAATATGGTAGAACACTCTGCACACAGGAAAACTCATGTTAAGCAGGGAATGCTTTCGAGATAACTCACAGATCCATAAGTGTAACTGGAAATCAGATAATCTGTACACTGAATTCTAGCTTAAGCCAGCCTTATTTTCAGTTCTAAGATCACAATGGGATCCCAATATAAGATCAAGAACTTTTTAATTAGATAACACATGGGTCATATTTGGACATAGTTCAGTTGTCTCCTGACAGTCAACATCACCACCTGGAGCCCTAGAAAAACCACTCTTTCAAGTGTAGGGTTGAAAAGTCATTCTTACAATTTGTAAACAGAAAACTTCATTCCAGTTGCTTAATACAAAATGCTGCACTGTTGTTTCTCTGTAGTAACCCCCCAATATTTGCTTGGGAAGGAGCTGCAGAACCCAAGACAGGAAATTTCACAGCAAAAGCTCCTCAGTTGGCACCTGTACAAGGTGGAGGAAGGAGAAAAGAATGTCCAGAGACTTGAAACATGGAGCTTGTAGCTCCACAGCAGGGCTTAGAGGACAGAGGAGAGTATTAGTACCAGAGTGAAAAGACAGAAGAAAGGATCAAGAAACAGAGGACAGTTAATGAGCTTTTATAGCCATGTTTGGAAGCAAGACAGAAAATTGTGCTAGGTCTCAGAAGTGTCTGCAGTGGAGGAACAAGAGGAAGCAGCATAGATACATGTTATGGAGGGATGCTGATAGAACAAAGGCATGTCCATGGTAGGGCAAGATAGACCTGGAGGATCCAAAACCTCATTGCACTTATCCCAACCTCACGCTGCTGGAGAAGGAAGGCAAATGCACATGTACAGTAGGAAGCAATATTCTTTCCTCATGGTCATGCTTTTGGCAATGCTTTCAACTCGTCCTCAATTTTTGCCTCTAAAAAAGTTATCAAAAAATCCCTGGTCTACAGCCCTGAAACAGATATTAAACATACCATAACTCAACACACCAAGAGAGGTTGGAACTTCATCACCACTCTACAAGGACTTCCTAAGACACTCAGTGGCTCTAGCAGTGATTCAATACATCCATCCACTACTGCCCATCTATGAGTGCTCCCACTGCCAGACCATAACAGCAAGTGCCTGAGAGTGTGTCCACTTCTGCTAATTCATGTCCAAATGAGAATACCATCTCAAAAAAGAGTCTATTTGGGCAAATTACACTTTGTAAACCTGCTTCCCATGTTAGTCTCTTAAAGAACAACCACACATGCCTGAACTCAGAAACATCTGCTGTTACTCTCAGCAGCACAGCAGGGAAAGGGCCCCTTCAGTTCTCATTGAGTATGTATCCATGCCATAGCTGTGCACATTTCAATAGAAATTTTACCACCACAACCAGGAAACATTAGTATGTCTGCTCATTCCTTCACCTGAGAACATAAAAACTGTGCCCTTCTGTCTATAAATAGGACTTTCAATAATCTACTACATGAGTCCACTTTCAAATGGGAAGGAAAATCATGGAGACCTAAACTTCAGAAGTGAAAGCAGCAACCACTGCCTTTAAAGTCACCAAAAGCTACAAATGCTTGGATAAGAAAACTACTCATTCTGCTACCATAGCAGCATAGGTGCCTCA